CTGTCAGACTATGCCTGGGGTTCCAAACCCTCCCTCCCACCCTCGGGCCCTCCACGTTCCTCAGGTGGGGACCTCCCCTAATCTCTGTCTCTCCCGGTGTATCAAGCCCCAGGGCACCTCAGGGAGAGGGGGAGTGGAGGAGTGGAGGGCCTCCTGCCACCCTAGCTCCCCAGGAGTCCCCTACCTGCACATGTTGCAGAATCCTCCGGGCGCACCAGTCCCCCAGCTCCGCATATTTGCCCGCCAGCTCCTCGTCCGCCTCCCCGAGCTGCTCCACCAGGTTCAGCAGCATCATGGGCACTGCCATGGGCTCCACGGCTGGGGCCCCCTGGAGCTGGGGCCGGCCCAGTTCCGATGCATCCTCCCGTACCCAGTGGACAATCTGATCCATCATCTCCACAGCTTCCATCTGGGGGTGTGGGAGGCAAGGGGAGGCCCAGGCTGAGGCCCTGGGGTGGGAGAGCTGATTCCTCTCCTGAACTCCAAAGACACCTTCTCGGGGCCTAGCATGCAGATCTGCCCCACCCTGCCTTGTGGGATCCCAGTCTGGGGGTACAGCCCTTCCCCGGTTGTGGGGTCAGGGTCTGGCAGCACAAGGAACCCAGGGCGGAGGGAGGAGCCTCGTCCTGGTTAGGGGCAGGTCGTGGATAGAGCCCTCTCTGTCTGGGCCCCTATGGTAAGGAAGCGGTCAGAGGTGAAGGGGATTTGGCCGGAAGATGGGTCCGTGGGAGGGGACTTGCGTCTTGAGTGGGAATGCATCAGGTGTCCACGGCAGGGTCCCAGGGTGGGGTCTTCAGGGGCACCCTTAGGCCCAGTGGCCGCCTCAGCAGCCCTCCTCTCACACACCTGGTACCGTGCTTCCCCTGTGGTCCTCCACAGCTCGTCCATGGCCATAGTGTAGAAACACTCGCTGAAGATGGTCCGCTGCACCTTGACCGGGCGGCCGTCGCGAGTCAGCACAAAGGCACACTTCTTGCCAGGAGGTGCCACCCGGGCATAACGCAGCAAGAACTCACCACCTGGAGGTTGGGGGGTTGGCATGCCAGGAATAAGGCCGGCATACCACACACACCACCCTTGAGCCTCCCCAGTCCTTCGCTGCTTCTAGACCCTTCTAGAAGCATGAGATCCGCACATGTGCGGATCTAGGAACTCCGCACATGTGCCCTGTTGAGTAAACATGGACTGGGTCACTGGGAGATAGGCAGGAAGGGGGTACCTGATTTTGCTGCGTCCAGAAGCTGCGCGTGGTGGAAGCGCTCGAAAGTGCGGTACAGGCGACAATACATCCAGACCTGCGGAGTACGGGGAGGAAGAGAACGTGGCTGAAGCGGCCAGCTGGGGTGAGGGGAGGAGCCCTTTGAGGTGATAGGCCCTGTGCCTTGTGGCCTGAGCTTCCAGGCTGGGAACACCCTACCTGCCTCCCCTGTAGCCACACATACTTGAGGTCATCATACACCTGCCCATCCCGGCCGAGGCACGTGAAGAAGCCCCTGTAGGAGTGCAGGGTTAGCAGAGCCTGGAAGGGGCCTTCCCTACCCCTCCTGCCCCTCTGGGGCCAGCAAATGTGAGGGGCCTGAGAGTGAGCAGGGGGCTCGGGAAGGACTCCGGAAGTGCGCCAAGTACCCGTGCTCCTGGTCGTGGGAGTGCTCCATCCAGAAAGCCACCACGCGGTCCAGCTCCTGCCCCACGCGCTCCTTCCAGGCCTGCAGAGTCTCCCGCTCTTTCTCCATATCCTAAGGGAACTGGGGCTTGAAGGCGCAGCCCCCGTGTAGGACCTAGGCCCACCAGCCTTGGACCTAGCCCTCAGGGATCCCCCCACCTCCACACAGGGCTTCAGACTTCGCCAACCCCACGACCCTCCAAGACAGCACTCCCCCCACGCGCCCCCCTACTGGCCTGTTGTGCTCGGAGAGCTTTGCTCATCCCTCCCTCTCCTCCAGGAAGCCAGACAGAGTTGGTCGAGATCCCGTGACTGTCACTCAGCTGACAGAGCCGCGCCCGGGCTCACCCACCCCCTCCTCTTCAGGGTTCCGCTGGGCCTGAGGGCGGGGCTTTGGGGCCCCACCCCTGCGCTTGTTCCTACCCTTCCCCTCCCCTTGGATGGACCTGTCCCGCCAGGGCCGCTGCTGGGTGCCCGCGGCTCAAGATCCTCCTTGGTGGGAAATGCTGGGATGGCAGGACGGTGTGGGATGAGGGGGCAGGGGGACGGGGCTGCCACCCCACCCCACACCAGCTACCTTTACGGGAGCCCAGAGAGGGCTCTAATGTGCCCCCTAATGTGCCAGGGACCCAGGCAGGGTGACTGAGGACCTTGGCTCTAGCAAGCCTGTGGGGCAGCAGTACAGCAGGACAGGGGACAGCTAGAGGGCCCTCTGACCTGTCACCGCACAGATATGGCAGGCAGATTATTTCCTTCTCTGGGCATAGATATGGCAGGCAGGTACGTAAGTGCTTTTTTTTTTTTTTCAGACAGGGTCTTGTTCTACCTCCCAGGCTGCTCACTGCAGCCTTGACCTGCCAGGCTCAAGCGATCCTCCCACCTCTGCCTCCCAAGTAGCCAGGATCACAGCTGTGTGCCAAAATGCCTGGCTAATTTTTGTATTTTTAGTAGAGACAGGGTTTTGCCATGCTGCCCACGCTGGTCTCGAACTCCAAAGCTAAAGTGATCCACACGCCTCAGCCTCCCAAAGTGCTGGGATTATAGGCGTGAGCCACCACGCCCGGCCTAGCAAGTCCTCTCTTTTGAAACAGTTTGTCACCAACCACCTGAACAGTCAGTAATAGGCAGCCATTGGCACTGACTTTTCTTTTTTTTTTTCCGGAGATGGAATCTTTCTCTGTTGTTCAGGGTGAAATGCAGTGGCGTGATCTTGGCTCACTGCAACCTCCACTTTCCGGGTGTAAGCAATTCTCCTGCCTCAGCCTCTGGAGTAGCTGGGATTGATTATAGATGCCTGCCACCACACCCAGCTAATTTATTTTTTGTTTTTTTATTTTTAGTAGAGACGGGGTTTCACAATGTTGGCCAGAATGGTCTCAAACTCTTGACTTCGTGATCCACTTGCCTCGGCCTCCCAAACTACTGGGATTACAGGCATGAGCCACCACGCCCGGCCTTGGCGCTGACTTCTTTACACAAGTGACACAGCTCTGAGGCCTGACAGTAACTGCAGGTAACAGCCCACATCCCCCTTCTCTGGGCCTATTTTCCAGCTGCCCAGATCTGTCTGTAGCTCTATGACCGTCTGACCTGACAGTGCTACAAGGCCAGTGGTTTTCCAGGCCGACGGTGCACAGAATGCTTCCAGCCCTGGGCATGGTGCTGCACTGCTGGTCTTTGATGCCACAGTGACTGTCTCAGTTCCCCTTTGGGGTGCTTGGGAATGAGGCTGACGCCCCTGGCAGGTGGGAGCATCCTCTGTGTGCTCACACCTGCCCTCGGCCTCGGCTCATGCTCAGGGATGAACTTTGTGCCCAGCCGGGCTGTATCTACCTGCCCTGCTGGCAGGCCTGTCATGGTCATGTTCAAGTCCAGCCTCCCTCCTGCCTCACCAAGGCTGAGCCTTGGTATGTGGAGGGTTCTAGGCTTCTCTGGGTGGTCCCCCTAGCCCTGGTTCCAGTGGACAGGAACTTGGTCAATCCTGAGGGAGAGCACTTAGCTTTCCTGGGCTCCCTGGGAGCAGGACCAGGAGGTGCCATGGTCCCCGTCCCTGCCCAGGGCTCTTCCCTGGAGGCTGTGGAATGGTACCCTCAGACGGAAACTCGGTATTTTCAAATAAACACCAGAGGCATGACTGATGTGGCCGTTGCCTTCTGAAGTGTGATGCAGCCACCGTGACAGGTGAGCTGAAGGCAGGTGGAAGGTGGGTCGCCCTGCAGGTGCCAGCTACAGGAGTGGGGTGGGAAGAACCCTTGTACTGCTCCCACCAGGGGAAGCGCCCACAAAGCCATTTGCCAAAGGTATGGCAAATCCTCAAGGCTCCTCGTTCTGGGGCCAACCCCATGTGGCCCCTGGCCTCCCCCAGCCCCAGGCATGGTTCCTACCGCTCTGCTCTTTCCCACCCCTCTACTTGGGCCTCTGAGAGGCTGGGCTCTGTGGCAGGTCGCAGTTGGTGCAGTGACCAAGACAGAGATATGGCTCCTGGCATCAAGCCCTGGCCAGGTGGGGACACAGAGGATCCCACATGACAGCCTTTCCAGGAGAGGTCACATTGGACAGGGCCTTGCACACACACCAATGCCACAGGTGGAGACATGTAGGCTTTTGTTACTCCAGGAGTTTCTGGCAGCAGAGTACCTGAGCACTCTGAGAGCAAGGTCAGGCAGCAGAGGTGTGTGGGGGAAACAAAGCAGGAGGTGGGGCTTGGAGGGGGGGCAGGGAATGCAGGTACACCAGGCCTTCGAGCCCCAGGAGCACCATGCCACTCCCCTCCGACCCACCTAGGCCTGTGCTGCCCCAGCGGCCTTGCCCCAGGGCTTTCTGTGCCTCCTGGCTGGTGAGCACCGAATACAAATTCAGCGCAGCAGATCCCAGCTGTCCTGCCAACCCAATCGCTAGCTGGTCTGGATCACGAGTTCTGCTTCTTCCCCTTGTAGGCATGGCTCACATGTAAGAAGCAAGATGAGGGGATCCACCTCTGCAGTACCCACAGTGTGCCTGTGACAGCACCACCTCCCCCCAACACACCCCAGACCACCGCTGGTGACCTGCCAGGCCTTTGCCCCATCCCATCCTCTAGTGCAGGAGGGGAGGGAGAGATCCAAGCCCGACACAGAAAGTCAGCAGCAGCCCCTTGGTTCTTGCCCTGCAAAGCAGCTGCCAAGCAACCTTCTGGAACCTGGTCCGACTTGGTCCAAAGACCACATGCCACAGTAGGGGCGTTCCTTTCACTGGAGCTCAGGTCCCCCACCAGGGAGCTCCCGTGAGCCTCGGGCAGGTCTCAGCCTTCCTGCTTAGGCCTCCTGCAAGGATGCTGGGACAGTGAGCCACCTAGTGGTTATTTCAAAAAAAGTCTTTTAATTGTTCAAAATAGCACAAAACGACATCGCACTATGGTAATATTGAGTCACAGGGGTTACTCTACAATAGTGAACGGTGTACTCTCCTCAGAAACAAATCAATAGGCGCGCGAGAGAAGGGGTGGGGTAAAACAACAGGACCAGGTGAATGGGCTCCAAGGTGACTAAACGTGACATTTTCCACAGCGAAATATACTATAATACAACAAACCAGAGGCCCTGGAGGACACAGGCTGCTGCATCCCCAGGCAGAGTTTGGTGGGGAAGGGCTGGAAATATTGGCTGCTCAGTTCAAAGCCTTCTGACTTGCTGGCAAACCTTGCTCCTTGATGGAAGCTCGAGGGGAGGGGGGGTAGAAAACTGCAAGCAGATACCCCAGCCCCGGAGCCTGGCCTGGGTTCCATGCAGCACATTCATGCAGCTGCTATGCTGCTGCTGGCGACCGGATCTGTTGCCCTGCCTCCCTTGTAGGTGACACTGCACAGGTGCCCTACCAGGCTGCTTCCAAGGACGCCTGGTTCCCCTCCATTCTCCACCCTTTCCATGACAATTTGAGGGAGGTGGCACAGTGGCTGCAGAAAGCAGCAGCCCCATGTGGGAGGCAGCGCCGGTGGTGCTGAGGGAGGGGGCGTGGGGAGCACTGGGAACCCAGGACAAGGAAGCCCCAGCCCTCCCTCCAGCTTCCCCAGGCTCGACCCTATGGGTGCAGAGTGATCACCCATGAGGAATGAGCTGTCCTTTCTTTGTCCCAGCAGCCTGAGGACAGGCAAAGGGGTAGAGGACAGGAGCCAGCAACAGGAAGCTGGGCTGGGCGGCAAACAGTAGGCGCCACGTGGCAGATTCCACACCTCTCCTGCCCTGGCAGGCCCCAGCTTTTCCTCCAGAAAGATCCCTGCCAAGAATTAGCCAAGGAGAAAAAAGCAAAAACAAAACAAAAACACACAAAAAAGAAAAAAAATTACACATTCTGTACACAGCTAACAACAAAAAGAGACAAAACCCCACACGCTAAAATTACAATGAAAGTGTGAACTTCACCAATTTCAACCTAAAAAACACAACCAATGCAGCAGTTGGCAGCATGGCCCACAGAGAGGTTTGCACAGGTGCTGCCCAGGCCGCCGCGGGGCTCCTTGCCCCTTTTTTCTTTTTCCTTCTTTTCTTTTTTTAAAATGGGAAAGAAGAAGGGAAGAGGATAAGAGTTTGGAGCACGAAGGCCTCTGAGAAAAAGTGTAAGCTTCCTGTGGGGTCACTGAGCAGGGCGGACTGGGGGAGCCTGAGGAAGGGAGGTTAGGTGGCTGGAAACACAAGGGGAAGAAAAGAAAACAGAACCAGACAGACACCCGGGCCAGAGTGTCAGGAAAGCTGCCCTGGGGAAGGCCAAGGGGGTGCCTTTCCTCCGCTCCATGCCCGCCCCTCACCTGGCCCTTGGCAAAGCAAAGCGCACACAGCCCCAGGACAGCGCTGGCTGTCTTCAGCTCCGCCCTCCCTAGTCAGAGGGGAGGAAAGGAAACGCGCTCCTCTCTCTGCTTTCCCATCTGCCTCTGCTTCCTCCCAACCGCAATGGTAAAATGTGCTTTCTTTAGATTATTTTAAAAACAGAGAGAAAGAGAAAGGGGGGAGGAGGAAACTGCGGCTCTGGAGGGTGAAGTGCGAATGCCGAATGCCGGGGCGGGAGGGGCGGGGCGGGAGGGGTGGGCCTCGGCGGGTGTTCCTGAAGCAGGGGAGTCTGGAGAAGAATCCAGGGACTGGTCAGCTTCCTCTCACTGACCATCGGCCTTAGATTTCTTTGGAGCAGATTTCCTTGGAAGGCAGACAAAGGAAAGAGAAAGTTAGTGTGGGCCTCACACCGATCGTACCGGGCCGGTTAAGTGCCCCCAGTCATTTGATGAGAGGCTGAGCCCAGATATTTCCACCCCCAGCCTCAGAAAGTTCCTGAGAAGGGCTTCCTGCTTACATTTCTGGAGAGGACATAGGCCGTTTGTTGGCCGGCTTGGTGCCAGAGCTGTCTTTACTGGTTTCTGGAAGGAACAAGAGAGATGGGTGAGCAGCACTGTGACAGAACAAGAGCAAGGAACACCCGCGCCCTGCCCGCCCAGAGCCTCTCGGTGCCACACGGTGCTTCCTGTGGGCGGTCACCTTTTGCACTGCTCCCTGACTAGAACACGACACCACTCACTCTCCTCTGGATGCAGGTTAGAAACCCACTCAGCTCAGCTCCCACCTCTCACTGCCCTCCCAGGTCCCAGGTCCCAAGTCTCAGGTCTCAGGTCCCACGGTCCCAGTCAGCCCCAGCGGAGCTGAAGTAGGAGCATCCCACCCCTCACCTGCTGCGTGCCAGGGACCTGGGACACGCTGTTTTCGGGCTTAGAAACCTACGCTTTCCCACAGCCCTCTCAGTCCTTATCCCCTCAACCATCCTGGGGCAATGTCCCCTGCTCCACTCGACAGCTGCCCTCAGGGGGCTGTGTGCGCGCCAAAGGAAGCAGGGAGACACGGCACATGGGAAGAAATCTCAGAGGGCGACAGTTCCGCCTGCTGCACCTGGCTCCCTGTGCCTTCCCTAGAAGCTGCCTGAGTAGCCCCACAAAGGACACTCACCCTGCAGCCACCTCACTTGTGTGGCTGGGCCGTAGCCCTTCTCATTGCGGGCAGCGATGCGGAAAATGATGGCAGGCTTGGTGGTGTAGTCGATGTGGGCGTTGGAGAGGCTGGAGGACTGCACGAGGCAGGAGGGGCTGGGCCCGCAGTACACTCGCATGAAGGCCAACTGGGCTGGGGTGGAGCTCTTGAGCTCACCCCCAGCCTGCGAGCTCTGGATGGCTAGGTACACCGAGTACTCGATGATCTTGCCGGAGGTCACAGAGGGTGGCTCCCAGGTGAGGTGAGCACCATCAGGACTCTAGAACCCAGGGGGTCAGAAGGTCAACAACAGGGCAAGCTAGAAGCTTCCAGAACTGACTGATCATGGTTCCCATAAACCATTTTCTAACACAGTAGAGAGATGCCATGTCGCAGTTCAAGGAGCTTCAAAGAGATCTTCCTCCAAGTAGAAGGGCTAAAACAAACTGGGACTCAAAACCCAGCCCTCCTATGCCCACACTGCCACCTCATGTGAGGCAGGAGGGAACCAAGCAGATACAGAGGGTCACCCCACAGCAAGACTCACTTTGCTGATTTTAATGGCACAAGGGGCCCCTGGGAAACCAGGCAGACATGTCTTAAAGGCTGAGATTTCACTGAAGGGCCCCCGGCCGCAGGCATTGATTCCAGCAACACGAAACTTATAGGCTGTGCCTGGCTGCAGCTCCTGCTTCTTCAGCTGGTTATAGTCAGGGACAGTGCCCGAATCATCCTGGGAAGAGAGGAGTGGCATGAACTCTGCTGTGGAGAAGGCAGCTCTCGGCCACCCCAGGGACGCTGAAAGTCTGTGGTGACTATGGGCCAGAGGGAAGAGGTCAGCGGTGGCTGGCCCCTTATGGCAAGGAGGGACATGGTGAGGCCGACTGTAGCCAGGTACTGGCGGCAAGGAACCAAGGCTCTCCTTTTCTCCTGCTTCAGGGGGATGGGCTCTGCCTGGCTATCCTCAGGCTTCCTGGCTACTTAGCTTGGCCCAAAGATGGAGGAGTTTCCTGTAAGCCCCACTCAGGACAGTGGAGCCAAGATCCACCCACCTGAGGGCATCAGCTCCTGAGAACACTTACTTCTGATGGGACAGCATCGTCTGGTGGCAGAAAATAGTGTGTCACCATTACATTGGTGCCCTTAATGACCCCCACATCAAACCACTGGTTTTCCTTCTTCATGGGGGCCTTGCTGGGTGGGGGCGGCAGGTCCGGCTTCTGGAAGACAGAATTGGGGTGATGAAATCAGGCCCTCAGCACCCAGAGGCAGTGCTGCCCCCCAGACCCAGCCTCAGGAGCACTACCACACCCAACTCACCACACCCAGGGACTCAATGCCATTGGCCACTTCAGTCAAGGTAGCTGCAGCCTGCAGCTTGGCTGGGCTGGCCACCACAACCGGCTGGGGGGCCACAAATGTGTTGGATGGAGCCAGGCCTGGGAAGAAAGGTGTCAGTGGGAAAGACTACAAAGACTTGGCTCCCAAGTGGGACCGAGCCTCCTGTCCTGCCCTGGCCTCCCTGGGTGCCCCCACCACCCCAGCACTGATTCGCCTTCAGCTGCTTACTCTCAGTGGCTGTTGAGGGCAGCAGCGCCACGGTGCTGGGGACGGTGCCGGCCAGCTCGTTGAGGCAGTTGCTCTCAATGGCCGGGTCATTGAGGCTATCAGCAGGGGCCAGGGCCTCAGTGGGGAGGTGGTGATGCTGCTGCTGGGCCTGGGCCTCCTGCAGCTGCTGCTGCTGCACCAGGGCAGCCAGCTCCTGCTGTGTCAGCACAATGGGGATGGTGGTGGCCTGGCCCTCCTGGCCCTCAGCAGACAGGTGCCCCAGCTCTGCCTGGGTCACGGTTGCCGCTGCCTCGGAGGTGTCCATGGGCTCACCGGTGCCTGCTCCAGGGTCAAGAGAAATGGTTATTTATTAGGAAGGCTGGCCAGAGGCGGGTGACCCAGGCGGAGGCCCCAGAGCCTGTCCTGGATACCCTGTCCACCTCCCACCCGTCTTCCACTATAAGATAAGCGCTGGCAGAGTGGCCCTGCCTGTTTCCCAGGCAGTAACCCCAGCCAGGTGGTCCCATGTGGCAATCCCCACTACCTGGCCTGTCCAGGGTCCCCTGTGCCCATCCTCCCCATCACATCGGGCTCATGCCACCCTCGAGAGAAATGGGCTCCTCTTCCCAGGCTGTCTCCGTGGCCTACTGCTCCCCCGAGGTGGCGCTGGCGCTCACCCATAACGGCCTGCTGTGCGGCCTGGAGCACCGCCTGGATGGCCAGGGCCTGGGCTTCCTCCGTGGCTGCAGCCTGGGCAGCTGCTTCCGCAGCAGCAGTCACTGCCAGCTCTTCGGGGGTGAGTCCCGTTACCATGAGGGTGGTGGTGCCGGCCTGGGCCTCAGCCATTAGCTCTTGGGGAAGTGATAACTGATCTACTTCGGACTGTGCAGGTGGGGGTGGCTGGACCACCACAGTGGCCACCACCGCAGAGCTAGCAGACTCCTGGCCCGAAGATGGCTCCCCTGTGCTGCTCAGATCCACGGCGGCCGGGAGCTCAGGGGTCTGGGAGGCTGACAGGACCTCGGCGGACTCCCCCATCAGGGCTGTGGAGGCCGGCTGTAGGAGTTGCCGCGGCGGCAGCTGCTGGCGAGGCCCTGGGGACACCTGGAGTTCCTCTGGGGGCTGCAGGATGTCAACAGCAGAGAAGGGCATGTCAGAAGTTTCTGTGTTGGCTATGGTCACTGTTATTTTGGCCGGGATGGGGACTTCGGTGGTCAGAGCCCCTGGGGCAGTCTCAGTCAATGATGAGATCTTCTAGAAAGGGAAAGAAGTCCCTGTCAGAGGGGAAGAGAGGGGGGCCAGAACCAGGAAGCAGGGCTGAGAAGCAAGCCAGCCTTCACCTTTCCTTGTGGGCCTAAGTTTTCACTCTCGATGGGCCAGCTCGAGCCCATGTTAAATGGGGGAAGAGGGGTGGGCAGTGGTTCTCTGAGCAGCATGAGGACAGAGGCCCCTGAGACCCCTGGTCAGGTTTAGCCTGTCCTCAGAGTCGTCCTGGCCTGGACAAACAGACACTCGGACCCCGCCACGTCTTGTAGAAGCTGTGGTGAAGTGACACACGATGGTAACCGGTCACAGAAATAAAAGCAGCCCAGAGATGCAGGGGAACGAAACAGACATCAAGGCTGCCCTTTTATGGTCCGGAAAAAGAATCAACAGCAGCCCCATGCCTGGTCCAAGAGCGACATCTGGTGTCTTGACTGTGGAATTGCACAGGCGTAGGCAGGGAAGGTGGAGAGCAAAAGGACCCCTTACCGGCACTGAGGGGCCTGGGACCGGCGTGGACTGTGTCACGGTGGTCACAGCCCGTGTCAGTGTAGAGGACACAGTTGTTGTGATGGCACTGGAGCTGGTGATGTTCACGCTGTCGCCCTGGGTGCTCTCCACCTCTCCCTGATCGCTGGTAGCGGGTGGGGTGTCTGTGGGGGCAATAGGCAGGTGGCTGCTAAGCAGGAGCCCCCAGGGCTACAGTTGGCTTGACCACCATGGGATTCCTGTACTCCCAAGGGGAGGGTCAGAGAGGGCAGGACAGGCTCCTGGAGATTCCCACATCTGCTGCTGGCATAGCCAGGACGCCCCAGTCCACCCCGCTGGTAAATTGGGCACCGAGGAGCCTGACCGGTGGACTCTGGTCGAACCCCCGCCATCGTTCTCTCACCCTTTCGGCCTGGGGGTCTGGGAGACCATGAAAGCCAGGTGGCCGCCTTCACTTACCTTGGTTTGAGCTCATGTTGGAAGTGACAGTGGTAGCTGTGTGAGTGGTGCCTGTCTCGTGGGTCTCACAGGGGGGGTTGGAGCATACCCTCTGTGTTGGGAAAGGGGCCAGCAGAACAGTGCCAGCCTGGGGAGTGACGCTGGGCGCTGCCGCCGCCTCTAGGCCAGACTCCAGGGTCCTGTGGGAAGAAGTGGCATCGGGAAGCAGGGCGCCCGCGCTGACAGACATGGTGGTGCCGGTGGAAGTGGTCTGGTGTGTCTCACAGGGGCGACCTGCAGGGGGCTGCTGCCCACCCTCGGCCTGGCCTGTGCCCCCATTTGAAGTGGCCGTGGTGGCCGTGTGGGTGGTGCCTGTCTCATGGGTCTCGCACGGTGGGTTGGAGCACACCCGCTGGGCGCTGCCTGCATTCGAGGTAGTGGCGGTGTTGGTGGTGCCTGTCTCATGGGTCTCACACGGTGGGTTGGAGCAGACTTGGGTCACAGTGGCCGAGGGGCACAGCAGTGCCTCCAGGGCCGTCACAGTCACTGTGGTGCTGGGCGAGCTGCCCTGGAGGCTCTCGCACACAGGTGCCGTGCGGGGCTCCCCAGCACCCACACTGGAACGGGCCATGGCGGCGGTGCTGGCTGCATGGCTGTGGCGCCCTGTGGGCAGGTCCTTGCTGCCTGGGCTGCTCAGCCTGACTTTGCTGCTCAAAGGGGCCAACTGCACAAAAGCAGTGCCACGGCCCCCAGGCTCCCGTGCCATGCTCGGCCCGAGGAGTGGGCCAGCCGAGCATGGGGCCCCAGTGGCCATCACAGTCATGGTGGTGCTGGTCGCGCTGGTCTGGCGGGTTTGGCACTGGGGCTTAGAGCCCTGGGCTGCCTCCAGCGCCCCAGCGGCCACACTGATCCGGATCACGGCAGGGGTGCCGGCTACACAGGCCCGACGGGCATCTCGCTGGTGGTTGGCGCCGACACTCGACATGGCTGTGGTGGCAGTGTTGGTGGTGCCCGTCTCGTGGGTCTCGCAGGGCGGGTTTGAGCAGCCGTGTTGCCCGGCCATGTTGGAGGTGGCGGTGGTGGCGGTGTTGGTGGTGCCTGTCTCATGGGTCTCGCAGGGTGGGTTCGAGCAGACTCGGACCATGCTACCATTCTGCTGCCCCACAGTCGAGGTCACAAGAGATGCAGCTGCCTCCTGTCTGTCACAGACAAACTGCACTTGGGTGGGCTGGGGGTGTCCCCCAAGGTTAGCCACAACGGTGGTGGTGGCCGTGTTGGTGGTGCCAGTCTCGTGGGTCTCACAGGGTGGATTGGAGCACACCAAGGTCACGGTGCCAGGCTGCACATCACCCTGGCCCGAGTCGGCGATGGTGACTGTGGCGGTGGGCTGCTCTGTAGTCGGAGAGGCCAGAATGGACACAGGGAGGTCGTGCACGGGCTGGGCCTCCACCCCGCTGGGTGCCGTGATCAGAGTCACCTGGGTGGGCTGGGACACCGGCTGGGGAGACACACCAGGAGGAAACTTAGTGCCTCGGCTGGCCATCTGCCCATCTCTCTCTGTCCTGCACTGTCACTGCACAGCCTGGGACCACTGACCGCTCCTCAATGGCCCTGGCAAACCTAAGACCCACTTGCCCCTGCCTCCAAGACACCGACTTGCTTAGAGGCCAGGAAAAGAGCCACCACTTTGCCTCAAAGGCAACTGGGATGAGAAAGAGGCTATGGGGGCAGGGCAAGGGGAAGGCAGGAGCCTGGCTGGAGTCAAGTCCTTTGTCAGGGAATGAAAATCCCCCTCAATGCTCAAAGGCCAACAACAAACATTTCATGGTTTTCCAGCTTCAAACCTACGAAGAGAACACTGCACACACACACAGACGAACTGCAGCGTCTCCTAGAACACCGTGAGAGGAAGAACTTGGTGTTCAAACACCAGGCATGGCCAAACCACGGACTACAACACAGGGACTATGTGACACCAGGGAGAATGCCCCAGGTGAGGAAAAGCCCACCATGGCCGTGCCTGGCAGCAGTGTGACATCAGAAAGGAAAGGCCTGTGGATGGAGGGCATAAGCCACGCGTGCTTCCACTCATGTGAAGGTCCCTCGCCCACATGCACCCTCAGGCCCTGCCCTACCTGCATGGTGATGGTAGGGGTCGTGAGCCCGCCTGCCGCTGTCAGCGTGGTCTGTGCAGCTGACACGGTGATGGCAGTGGGGTTGATCACCTGGCTGGAGAGGGTGGCGATGGTGCCCAAGGTGGTGATGGGCGTGGCCAGGGAGGCACTGGTGCTGTGGCCCCCCGCCCCAGCAAGGCTGGTGGAGACTGTGCCTGTCACTGTGCCTAGGGTTGTGACGCCTGAAGGAAAGGAGGCAGAGTTGGGCCGAGGCTGCTGCTGCCTCCTTCCCAGGGCTCCTCCTGCAGACAGCCTAGGGCACTCTGGAGCTCCTGGCACAGAAGGCTCGAGAGAGCGCAGCTGCTGTGCCCCCCAACTCTGCCATGGGGATCTGAGGCCAGCCCTGCTTCACTATCATCTAGGGGCAGCAGGGGCCCTGGCCTGCAGGTACACACCTGTGGTGCCTTTCACAACCAATGTGGTGACGGCTGGCTTGACGGCGGAGACGGTGACGGGGGTGACCAGGCGGACGCCCCCCATGGGCACAGTGCGGAGGATGGTGCCTGGCTGTCCTGGGGCCCCCTTAAGCACCACCTGGAACACCAGAAGAAAGTGCCACCAATGTCACCACCAGGCTGGTGGACGCCACCCCTCCCAGGTCGGGAGGACCTGCGTGGCCTGCTGCAGTGGACTGCACTAGGACACCGGGCTGAGCATGGCTGGGGGTACCTCACCTGGGTCACTCCCTGCTGCCCGTGGCCAGTGGCAATTTTGGGGACAGCAGTGATGATTTTGGCAGGTGCTCCAGTTCCTGAAGTCATAACCTTAGTGGTGATGATGGTGATGGGGGACTTGATGCCAGGACTGCTGGTCACACCTGAATGGGAGAGTGGAAGCCCAGGGGAGACAGGCTCTGTGAGGGCTGCCCCTGCTGCCCTGGGTTATAATGAACAGCCACAAGTCACAGCCACAGCCCTGCCACCTCCCCAGCAACCTCAGACACAAAAGGCAGCAAGGAGAAGGTGGAAATGGGTAAAAGAAACAGAAACACAGTGCGCCTTGTAACCCACCCTCCATTTCCCCTCCAGCGAGGACCTGCAGACACCCGTATATCAGGGGAGGCCCTTACCCGTGGCACCCGCCTGGGTGATGATGGCCGACATGGGGATGGTTTTGATGATGGTGGTCGTGCCAGGCTTGGTGGTACTGGGGGAGACGCTGCTGATGCCCAGGATGGTGGGCTTGGTCCCCGCCCCACTGGCCTGTGTGGTGGTGATGATGGTGGTGGGCTTGCCATCTGCTGAGGTCACCAACTTCAGGATTGTTCCCGCTGGCAGGGGCCCTTTGGTCTGAAAGGGGGAAGCAGGTGCATGAGTCGGTGCCACTGCCAGGAAGAAGTGTGGTCTGGCTACTCTCTGTTGGCAGCCTTGGCAGTTCAGGGAATACTCTGGAGGCTTTGGGCGAGGATACTGAGCAGCAGAACTTTCTGAACCATGTGTGCTCATGTGATCTTCCATACGCAGAGATGCGAGTTCTCCCTGTGACCTGGCCCCTAGGCCCCCACTCTTGTGTATGTGCAGAAACCGAGAGTGCTCACCTGGATGATCTGAGTCACAGGACCTGTGGACGCCTGGCCTGTGACTGCTGAAGTCTGCACTGGTTTGGTCTGGACCACTGACATCACTTTGCCAAGATTGGAAATCTTAAAAAAAAAAAAAAAAGGATGGAGCAGGGGGTGATCTGGAAACCAAACAAGGGCATGGCCTGGCTGGGACTCTCCTGGAGCTGGCCCGGGGTGGCCAGTAACGACTGGCAGTCACTGTGGCCTGGCAACTGTCACATGTGACCAGGCGGCACCCATCACTCACCAGAGCGCTGCCTCCTGGGACAGAGATGGGGCTCTTCACCAGGGTGATGGTCTTGGTGACCCCACCCACGACTGTGGTCACCACCTGGGCTTGCTGGGCCACTGTCACGGTGCCTGACTTGTGCACCGTGATGATAGGGCGGGTAGACGTGTTGGTGGCAGAAGAAACCGATGTCCCCACCTGGGCAGCTGCAGTCTTCAGCATGCGAGTGGCAGGGTTGCTCACCTGGAAGAGGCAGAGATGAGTAATGGACCAGGCAGAGAAAGAGATGGGGAAACCACCCAAAGATGTCCATGGTGGGCCCACAGCTCCCGCCTCAACACCCACCCTCCTCCTCCAGCTCCCAAGCCCAAGAACAGCTTGGTTCCCCCTTCCTTTAACGGGCAAGGGGGTAGGCCGAGACTGCAGGTCTTGCCTGAGGCTGTGACTTTCTTAATGGAGACAGCTTCTTCTGCAGCCCACAGTCCAATGGCTAGCTCTAAAGCCCAGAGGGAATGACCATGCTTGTTTAATCACAGTGACAAGCCCCAGAAGACACTCACCATGACTGGTGAGGAAGCCACCTTCACAGTGGCTGGGAGGGTGGTAGTGCCAGGTGTCACAGCCATGGTCTTCACGATGGTGGTGCCCGCGGGGACACTCAGCACTGTGGGTGCTGAGGAAGGGGGGATCTTCTGGGTGGCAGCAGCAGCAGCAGCCAGTGCAGCCATCCCACTCATCTGTGGGCTACTGCCAATCACCTGCAGCGGGCACGGGCGTGTGAGGCCAGGTCACGGGTACCACCTGTCTCCCTGCTTGGTGGACCTCACTGGAACCTGCCCAGGGCTCAGCCCTGCTCTGGGGAGCCTCATCCCACCAGCATGGCTCAGCTTTCTCTACTGCCAGACCCCACTCTCCTGGCCCCAGACAAGGAGGGCTCCCATCGCCGACCATGCATGGCATCCCCTATGCCAAGAGGTGGCCGGGAGCTCTGGATCCTTTTTAAAGACCAGAGAGTCAAGTCAGGTCCAGTTCATTTCTCATGGGTCTGCATCAAGCCTAGCTGGCTAGCTCCTCCTCTCAGGCTGCAGGACAAGAAAGTCCACGTGGCCAACGCCCTTAAGACCAGGCAACAGGTTAGGCCTTCTAGGCTTTAACTTATTACTTCCCACCACAACCTTGCAGAAGCGCTCTCTCCCTGTGTGCGTGTCCCAGGAGAGAAAGGCATGGGGTCAGTGCTACTAGAGCCCAGGGGATGGGTGTAAACCCCCAGTACACTTACAACTTAATGCACTGGATCAACAGGAAGTCCCGCCCACCCCCAAAGACTGCTCCTCACCGTCCCCTGGGCACTCTGTGTTGGCACAACCATCCGCACTCCGGCAGGCAGAGAGGTCACGGTGACGGGGGCTTTCCCGGCCTGGCTGGCAGGTCGCATGGTGACCAATGGAGTTCCTGTTGTAGCCTGAGGACCGGTCACTTTGAGAACAGCAGGGACACCTGATGAAAGAAGGGGCCAGCTGTTAGCCATCTCACCTTCCGCATGATGTCCCCAGACCCTTTGCCGAGCTCAGCAGGCAGCTTGAACCACTTCTGCTGGCCTGCTTGTGTGGGAGTCTGGCTCTTCTGTGCCCTCAGGGTGACTGTGTCCACAGGCGGGGCCAGGCTTTAGCATCCCTCCACGACTTTTGGAGAAAAGCCCAAAGCTCTTGGCCGCTGGCCTGCTGTCTGGGCTGCTGTCTTGCAGCCCCTACTCTGCCACTGCCTCTCCCTGGAGGCCAGCCCCTTACTTTTAAACGTCCCTGGACCCCTGGCTCACCTTGAGTCCGGGCTGCAGTGGGCACAGAAATGGAGCTGCCAGGCACCGTCGGCAAGACCTGGATGGTGGTGGTGGTCGGGGGCGCGGGGGCAGCCTGGGGCAGGAGCGTGATGCCTACTTGGGTCAGCGGCTGCACAGCGGGTGCGGCTGCTGCCGGGGCAGGGCTCTTGGGAGGATTGGCAGGCACAGATGGGACTGGATTGGGTGTAGGGGAGGTGGCAGTAGCGGCCGTGGCAGGAATGTCATATTTCTGGAGCTGGAGAAGGTAGCTGTCGGCTGTTGCCACTGCCCCCCAGCTCACCTCCAGGGAGTTGGTGTTGGCGCGTACCAGTTGTACTCGGGCTGGGGGTGGTGGCTTTTCTGTGGGAGAACGCAGCTGGTGAGAAGGGGCAGGAGGCTGCGAGGGTGGGAGGGTCGGCTGGGCTGGGCCTACCTGTCTCCAGGTACCAGAGGTCCTTGCAGCAGACCTGGTTGTTCCAGGCCTTGCGGTAGCCGTCGCGCCCACTCCAAATGTACAGGCGGGTGTTGATGGCGACTGCACAGTGGCCGGCCCGAGCCCGGGGAATGTTGTCCTCCAGCGTATCCATCAGGATGGTCTCCCAGGCCATGGTATCTGGGAGAGGGCGGATGGGTGAGGTCAGCAGGGAGGACAGAAGAAACCCACTACCCCCAGTTGCCCTTGGTTCTTTTGTTGTCAAGGATGGAAATGAAAATCAAGATGTTATCAGATTATTACATTAAAAACAACGAAACAAAGAAACCTTTGAGGCAAAAAGCACCATAAAAAATAAAATTATAAATACCAACGGCCAACTAGGAAAACCATGAGAAACACAGTCAGGGATTTACCTCCGTGCCCATCAAGGAGTGCTACAACTCACAGAAAGAGACGGCAACGGGGAAGATGGTTCAGGGAAAACGCCATAAAAAGATCTTTAAAAAAAAAACACTCTCACACAAAAGAAATGTCAACTTCAACCACCGGTGCCTGGCACTTTGATTTCTGGGCCTGTAGCAGCTGGGGCTCAAGGTGAGCCAGAAGGGAGCTTCGGCCACCTATCAGGCTTGGCAAAGAGTGAGTGGCCTGACCACTACGTGAGGGCTCCACCAGAGGCACCTATGTGGGCAAAGCCTCTGTGCAGGGCGCTTCAGCCGCATCGGACAGCAGCTCTACTTCTAGGTTTTCACCCCTAGGATACACTTGCACACAGGTGAAGATGGTGCAAGGATACTCACGGAGCGGCGCCTGTACAAGAGACAGCAGCACAACCACAGCTTGAAGGAGGCTGCTGCGGGGCAGGGATGTGGAGTGATCTCCAAGCTACGGCAGATGAGAAAGGCCAGGTGCGGCACTGCGTGTGCCAGGCTGCCACTGTTTTGTGTTTAAAGGCACCTATGACTAATGCTTGGATATGAAGAGTCCCTGCAAGGTGGACAGGAAACCACCCACGTGGCTGCCTCTGAGAAGCAGAACCGGGAGGAGGGAGGGAGGCCCTGCACTGTAGAGGCTTTCACACTTTTGGAGGTCGGGACATTTGGATGGAGAGCTCATTCAAAAATTCAGAGGCAGAACATTGCTTCAGAGAGCTCTGCCCACTGGATCCTTCTGGTGGATTCCAGAGGGAGCCGGGGGCCCAAGTTTGTTCCCATGCACCCCACACAGCTCTTAGGCTGAGGAGGGCTGGCCTCCTGCAGCCTCCCACAGGCCACTCAGAGCCCGAGGAGGCCATACCCAGGTTGAGACAAGCCAGCGTGTTGGTACACTTCCACTCCTTCTCGTGTGTGGCCACTTTGACGTCATCCATGACGAGAGGCACCCAGCCACCAAACACGTACATTCTGGGAGTGAGGAGGGAAGAGTAGGAAAGGATTGTAGAGTTGGTGCCAAGCTAGTGGCCACCTCTGCTACCCCAGTTCTAGAGCTCAGTCCTCTGGCTCTCCCCAGGAGAATCCCCAAGGACTCGTGAAGCCTCCTGATGCAGCCCTCTCCTGCCTGGTAGCTCAGCTCTCAGAACTGTGCCACCTCTACCATATAAAAGCGCCGTTCAGCTCATCTAAAGCTCACCTTCATCTCCACAGTTCCTAGGCTCCCTTTAGGACCTGGGCACTCACAAAGACAGCCAGATGCTTGCACAGAGGACCTAGAACACTCTGTATCCAATGGGGCGAAGCCTCAGGCCCAGGGAGGGTCTCAGGCTGGGCTTGTGTGTGGCCCCCTCCCCGCCGAATCTGTCTTTCCTTGGTCCCCCCGGGTCATAATGGAAAAATAGGGCTGCCAAATGCCAGCCCAGCCAGAAAGAGGCATCTTCAGGTCTTAGGGTCTGACAGGACAAAACTGAGAGCCCTTCGGGAGAGGGGCCACGCTGGTCTAGAGAAGAGACACACAGGCGAGCAGCCACTCACTTATTTCCGATGGTGGTTGCTGAGTGGAGACTGCGAGGGAGAGGTGCCACCCCGCTGAGACTGGGCTTATTCCATGTCAGGGTATCTGCAGAGAAAGAAGGGAGAGGGTTACACACACTGGACCACACACAGACCACTCCCTGGATTCAAGCTAGCTCAGGAAGATAGGATCTGTCTCAGTGAGAGAATTACATCCCTGGCCTCCCTACAGCCCACAGCAGGCCCTCTGATCGTTGTCATGGGAGCTAGATTCCTGTGTTACCCAGTCAGTTTTGACCAGCCTAGCAGGCGCGCTCCTTCAGGTACATCCCGAGCGCCTGCCCTCAGCCAGCACTGCGCTCTGGGCTGGGGGAGGAATTGGGAGCACACCCCAAACTCTCCATGAAATGTATTCACCATCATAACCACCTTAGGCTGCAGACATTTCAGCAAACACTATTGGAAATTTCTCTCACAGGAACCTGCTTCTTTGGAGTGCTCACTCTTATGTATAGGACAACACTGACATCTCTCTCCCAGCCCAAGAGGGCTCTGGAGACCCACAGTTAGCCATCTTCCCCAACCACTCCTGATGCCACCCCCTGGCGACCTGTCCAAGCAGTCCCCCAAGGCCTCACCGTTTACCAGCATGCAGTGGTACCTCAGCAGTCAGACCAGGACACAGTAGTCCACACAGTCTGACCACTGACAAGTCCAGAGAATTCCATTCTAGAAAGGCTTAATCTCTTATTCTCCTATAAGCCAGCAGACCAATTCGGCCAACGGAGCCAGCACAGCGCAGCGGTAACAGCCCCAAACCTAAGGACAATCCAGGGTGCCCCACCCTGCCCCACCAAGACAAGAGGAAAGCACTAAAGTGGGGCGTTCCAGCTCCCTACGAGCCCCACCTCACCACACAACAATGCCACCCACGGGACCAGCCAAGACTCAGACCTGCTTTGGCCCACAGCTGCTGGGGTGCTACCAGCCTGCTCACCGATATCTAGGGTCCACAGGTCCCCCAGCCTGCAGCCACTCATCCCGCCGTAGATCACCAGCTTGGACTTCTTGTTGTCTTTTTCAGTGTAGACCACGGCAGTATGTGACTCCCGGGGTGGTGGCAGGACCCCGTAAGTGATGGGGATGTCCCAGGCTACCACTCCGGAGCCCGGCCGTAATTCCAGGATGTATAAGTCATTCAGGTACCTGACGAGGAGAGATCAGTTACAGCAAGTCTCAGCTCCTCATGCCAGAGGATTCACTGCATGGCTATCAGTGAGGGAGAGACTCCCTGGAACACAAAGAGGCTAGGGCCATGGGAGCTGTGAAGTTCTTCTGCCCTGGCTCCCGAGGAAGTGGCTGCCAGAAGCTCCTTAGGATAAGCCCAGCTAGGGAAGGGGAGAGGGTAGGTGAGGCTGTACAGCAGCCCCAAGACCAGACCCAGCAGCACGCCCTGCTGTGCACACAAAGCTGGGCATTATACAAGGGCTCCGCAGAGCAAGAGGGGCACCGGCTCGGGACTACCTCCAAACAGAGTCCTTGGCCATAGGCCTTGGAAAATACCCATCAGGAAACTTGTAGGCAGCTGACGCCGAGAAGGAACACGAGCAACTCTAGGCCGAGTCTGAGAGCAGGCCCCAGCCCAAGGCAAAGTGGCTTCCACTTCCGGCTTGGCCCCCCCACCCATGAGGCCTGCTCAGGGTTAGCAGTGATTTTGGAGCCAGAAAGCTCCTCAGAGGGCATCGGTACAGCTCTCTCTGTACAACCCAGCATGAGATAGGGACCCAGCCACACACCCACCCGGGGGGTTCCGAGGAGAAAAGGACAAGCCTCACCTCGGAATGTTGTTCTTTGGGTCCTCGCTGTCATTGGCCAGACCCCCAAACAGGTAGCATTTGTTGCCCACAAGGGAGAAGCTGTGCCCGAGCCGAGGACATGGAGGGGGCCCATTTTTGGGTGTCTTTGCTTTGAGTCTCTTCCACTCCCACCGGCTCGCCTGCAAAATCAAGACCTGGAGGCTGAACCGTGGGATGAGAAGGCCACCGCTGGGGTCCCAGGGCAACTTGTGGTGGAGGAGAAAACGGCCGGGGGCAAGCTAGGTGCCTTGCTGGAGCAAGAAGGTCCTGGGTGTCAGAGCGGCATTGGCAGACTCTCAAGCGTCCTTCCACCTCCCACTTGTCTTAATCCTGAAGCCACTACCGTCAGGCCGTGGGGCTGGGGAGGCAGAGTGAGAACCTGGGGCTGCCTTACCTGGAGCTCGTAGAGGTCATTGCTGTATTTCCCATACTCCACCATCCCGCCAAACACCAGGAGGCGAGTTCCATCACACACAAAGCCATAGGCTGCACACCCAGGAGGGATGTCGCCCCTCACAGCTGGGATGAACCACTGGTTGGTTGCTGGGGAACAGAAGGAGGCAGAAGTCAGTAGAGCCGGCAGCGTCCATTCCTCTCATTCCCCAAATCTGCCAGCCGTCAAGCTTGGGGAGGGGCTGAGCCAGGACCATCCCTGTGGGCGCTCTAGCAACTCCAGCCATGCTACCTGGGCCATCTTCCAAACCCCGCAGCTTCAGGCCACTGCAAAAGGACCTGTGACCACCCTGCTTCTCCATCAAGGTCATCTTAACGAGTGGGATGTCACTGTGCAAGATCCCTCATCGGCTACTGGGAATCTAGCCACTGCCTTCCTTCCCTACCACTCAGTGGATCAGACATGAACTTCTCCCCAAAATACCCTGTTGGTGGACCTGTGCTCCTCCTCCCTGGAGTCCACATTTTTGTCCCTGTATCACAGGGTCAGGACAGCCAGAGCCCACAGCAGCACTTTCAAGTGGCCAAAAAAAGCAATTGTTAAAGGCCGCGGAGAGCCATGGGACAAGACCCAGCCTCTGCTCTGACATCCCAGACCTCATCTGCTCTCCCAGGTGATGGTCCACCAGCATCCCTCCCCACCCCCGCTGCCACACCTATGCTATTCTGGAACATTCTCGAAAGCCAGAGGTGGCAGTCTCAGCAGACCCATGACAGAAGCTTCTCGAAAGCTCATGGGGGTCAGGAGACCACCAAGAAAGAGGGGAATCAGACCCTAGGCACTGCTTTACTTCCCCAGGACAGAAGCAGCCAGCCTTCAGCTGGGACTGGGCCCTTGAACTCGACTCCCCTCACACCCTCCATACTGGGGCTTCCCAGGACACCTCCTCCTATGAGGGGCCCCTCAGAGGATTCACCACACTCTTTCCAAAAACCCCAAACTGGGGGCCAGGTGCAACCCTGACTCTGTGCCTGTGAGCTGGCCTGGGTGAGATCTCAGTGAGCAGATGGCGGAAGGCGCTGAGGCCCCTTCACACGACTTGAGACGTAAGACGGGTTCCCCAGGACATGACAGGGCATGGGGGGATTCCTGTGTGGTGGGAACTGGGAAGGCTTCCACACAGGGGATGCTGTGATCTTGTGATATAGCAGACTAATCAGTTCGGTGACCAAAAGCGTTGTGAGACCATAGAAGAAGAAAAAGTAGTTTTTTCCGTCTTCAGGTGCACCCAGGGCCAGGCAGCTGGCCACGGTTGGGAATGCACATCCCGCTGCACTCTGGTCCCACCCAGTCCCATGCAGTCACCCCCAGGGCTCGATGTGCACTGTGTACAAGGCTTGCTCTCATCCAAAGCAGAACTCCCAGCCTGGGTAGCACAGGGAGACCCTGTGTCTACAAATTTTAAAACATTAGCTGAGTGTGGTGGCATACACTTGTGGTCCCAGCTGCTCAGGAGGCTGAGGCGGGAGAACTGCCTAAGCCTCAGAGTTTGAGGCTGCAGTGAGCGGAGACCGCGCCACTGTATCCCAGCCTGGGCAGCAGAGCAAGACCTGGCCTCAAAAAAGAAAAGAAGAACAAAAACAGAAAACCCCCCACAGCACAACCGTACCAGCGCCACCTCCAGAGGCGAGAGCACCCCCACCTACTCTCTAGCGCCCACTCCACGGGTGGGCTTTCAGCAGGCTGTCGGTCTCTGCAGCCACTCAGCTGAGTCACTGGGCCTCAGACATGCCAAGCACTAAGCTCCCATGCCATTTTCCTAAGGCAGAGGGCAACACTTGTGCAGCCTGTACCCGCAAGCTTGGGTCCTGGGCCCCTGCCTCTTTCTCATTCCCAGTGCAAAAACCACCCCAGAAAAGGAGCTGCCAAGGCCACCTTGCCTAATCCCTGGAGGGGCTCCATGCAAGCTACCAAGGTAAACGCACAAGGAGACCCAAGACTGCCTGGGCTAACTGCTCTCGATAGGTAAAGGGGCAAAGCCAGGAGGGCAAGCGACACCTGAGGTCACAGTGCAAAACAGAGAGAGGAAGACAAGAGCCCCATCACTGACTTAAAGCGACCAATCTGTGCCTGCCCAAGGGTCCCATGTCCAAGCAGCCACCCTCACTCCCCTGAGCACCCTCATGGTCAAAGCCCACAGCTATGGGGCCATGGGTCAGGATTTGGGACAAAGCTAAATGGCACATGGGGTCAGCTGGCAGCTCTCCCAACACATGCTGATCAGTGAACCAGAAGGCCAGGCCAGAAGTGCCCTGTGATACCTTTGGGGCTCCTGCTTACCAGGTCCTTCTACAGGACCCAAGAGCTGCTGATCTCATTCTAGAACACATCAAGAGAGGTCTATCAGGGAGCACAGCTCCTGTTGTGAAGACAAGCCTACGGCCCCTCATCTCACCCACCAGTCCTGGTTCCACCTCTGAAAGCACACGAGAAGCGCCCCTCCCTTCTCCCAGCTTCTCAATGTGACAGCTGCTCTCAGTTGCCCCTGAATCATCCGGGGGGTGTCATGTAACCCATTCCTGGGGACTTATCCTGGAGATGCTGGCTCTCAGGGGGAGGGAAAGGTGGGGAAAGGACCCTGCCCTGGACGAACACCACTCCAGCTGCCCTCCTCCTGACGGCAAGGCCGCGCCCTGGCCTCTCCGTGTTTCATCAGCTCCACAACCCACTTCATGCTCCACCAGCTCCACCGTGGTTGCTAGTGTCCCATCGCCATCTAGAGACCGGTGCCCATGCAGGGGGGCAGCCGGTCAAGTTCAACGAACTGCCTTCCTCTCTGTTCCACCTGTCACATTAGAGCACTTCCTCTGTGGCACACGACACGCTGGGAGGCACAGAGGACACCACTCTTGTGCTCATACTCCCAGTGGGGTAGGAAGGCTGCATGCCCCCTCCCATAAGACAAGCTCTGACCCAAGCCTGGCCCTCGGGAACACAGAGCAGGGCGATCGCGGCAGAGGGAGGGCAGGAGTGGAAAGGGCTTCTCAGAAGAGGTGACATTTCAGCCGGGCCTTGAAGGGTGAACAGGATTTCCCGACAAATGAAACTCATAGGGCCAATCAGGAAGTGACCGCACGAGTCTAATAAAAAGACAGGAGAGCTTGGTGTGGAGGGGGACAGATATGATGTCAGCTCGACGCAATGACCAATTAGATACAGGGACAGAGGAGAAGGGAGGTGTTTCAAAGGTGGTGGCCCCCAAGAGACAGGTGGTAGAACAGCCTCTGTGAAGGTTTGCACTCCTGCCCAACTCCGCCACCAGCTGGAGGGGTGACCCTGGACCTCTCACTTCCCCTCTTGGACCCCAATTTCCTCATCTGCAGAAACAAGGAAGCTCCACTAGATATCGTCCAAGGCTCCTTCCAGCTTTAAGAGCCTATGGACATTACAGAGCCACTGAGGCCAAAACTCACATCAGCACCCCCCCGACCCACCGCCCCTGGCAGCGCTCTGAATCCTTTGGCTTGCCATGTGGAACTAAAATTTCCTAAGGACAAGGACAGTAGCTACCCTAAGACCTCTCAAAGCATACACCCCCGAAGCTTTCTTCGCCTAGCAACGGGGACCCCTTCCAGATCAGCTCTCTCCAAGCAAGGCTTTCTGAGGACTGACCCTACAGAAGCGCAAGGGGCAGAGGCCTGAGAATATGCCCCGCCTCCTCCCAAACACAGCAAAAGCAGACAGGACAGAGGTGAGGAGGCTGGGCTGCTGGGAGGGGGCAACTCCCGCTGACTCCGGATTCTGCCATTCTGCCGATTCTCACGCAGAAACCCTGGTGAGGAAGAGGGCACTGGGTCTGCCAGCTGCTCTCTCTGGAGAAGTCCTCCGAGGAATGCCGATGACAGTTCCCAAACTGCTACCCTGGAGGATACCAGCTTCGTTTAAAGCAGCCCTCTGGAAGGCAGACTACCCTCTAATGCACAACCTGTCTTTGCAGACTGGTAATGAATTCATACCAAAGTGTTCAATTCATTTTAATAAACTAATGAATATGCAGAGGCCCCAGGAAACCAAGGCAGCGGTGGCGGTGGACTTTGGAGCCGATTGTAATTAGGCCCCTGCCCTACTTTCTAAAACTGCGTTTCCCTGTCAGGGAGCCTGCTCCAGGCCTTCTGAGAAGAAAGTCTGTCCAAAGAGTTGAGGAGGTGCTGCTCACGGTGACGGCGCCTCTATAAACAGCGCTACCCCGGGAGAAGCTGTATCCCTGCCCCTTGACCTTAGCTTACTGAGCTAATTCCTGCTACTGCAGCTGCCTGGGCTGGCGCGGGGCACCACCAACCACCAAGCACCCCCGCCCGAGCGCGGGGGGTGCTGAGAAAGGTCCTGCTCCCTGGAGGCAACAGGTGCTGAGAGACCTGGAATGAAAAAGGGTCACCGGCAACCCACCAGCCTTTCAAAGCAACATGTGGTAGGTGGCAACCATTTCCAAGGTGTGGAGAAACCAGCACTTTCTGCCTTGGGGGGTGGGGAAGGAAGTGCACCCAAGAGCCCAGCTCCAGCCCTCCCAATTCCCCAAACCAGCTTTCTCCCTCCAGGCAGCTCTGACTTCCCATTCTAGAGCATCAAGGCGCTAGGGCCCAGTCAGAGAACAACGGTCTTTTACTGCCCAGGACACAAAGCCCACCCAGCGAGGGTTTGTCTGCAGGGACGCCACGGAGGCCAGGGGATTGCCAGAGCCCCAGGGGAGGATGCTGCAGAGCAAGGGGTTAGTGCTGGAAGCCGTGGCTCCCACTGAGGACTAGGGCTCCCCAGGACCCCAGCCTGCGGGTGGGGGGTTCCCTTCACCCAGGCTCTTCAAGGTCTTGCCTGGGACAGAACTCACCCTGACCCTGCCTTCTAGGCAAGACCAGGATCCTGTGGGCCAACGGGCAGCCAGCAGGCAATGTGGGAGCTGACCCTCGTGCTAGGAGCACAAAACGGGCCAAGCGGCCACCAAGAAAAAGGATGTCACAAAGTTCATGGCGAGCAGCAGACTTTCTGCCCTAGAGACTAGGCAAGGCTACTAGGCAGGGGCAACAACAGACAGCCCCCACGAAGGCTGTGGTGCCTGAGCCATACCTGAAGAGAGAGGTTCCTCCCCCCTCCCAACTAACAAGGGCTTGGGTTTTGCGGGAAGGCAGAGGAGCGGATGGGGTAAGCCCCTGGATCCGCCGAAGCGGGGAGATACAGAACTACACAGGCCGCTGAGGAGTAACTGGAATTCAGCTTGGAAACCAGAAGGCACCAAATTAAGAGAAGGGGCGACTTGGAAAGAAACGCTGCAGAAGTAAATGTCGAAAGGGAGAGGCGACCCTGCTGGCGGCCCGTCCTAGGGGTGCCTAGGGCTCCGGCATTATCCGGTTGGCAGATGAGGATGTTAAACTCTGCGCCCTATGAACGCGTCCCTTCCCTCCCTTTTTCGAGAGACAGAAAACGAATCTGTAATCTAGATATGGTCATTTATCCAGAATGGGCACTCGAGATGAAGGGGAGCTGAGCAGGCGCAGGAGAAGGGAGGGAGGGAGAGAGAACTCTGCCTGCGCCAAGGGGGCACATCCTCCCGCCCCAGCCCCGGCCCGCTGGGTAACGGTGTGGGTCTGAAGTAACCACCGCTGGCGACAGCCCCTCTCCCCCACCAGTCGGACTAGGGGCTTTCTTTTAACTGACGAAAACCAATCCTCAAATACGGGAGACAAGGGGTTTCAGAACGGGAAGAAGATCAGAGGAAAGCACTGAAGCCCGGCACACCAAAAGGGAGGGGCAAACCGATCAGCGGGGAGGGAGGGGAAAGAGGGGGGACGGAGGGGGAGGAGGGGGGAGGAGGGGGGAGGGAGGGGAAGAGGGAGCAGGGGGAGGGAGTGGGAGGGAGGGGGAAAGGGAGGGGAGAGGGGGAGACGGACGGGGGAAGGGAAGATGGTGAGGGAGGAGATGGAGGGAGGGAGGGAGGAGATGGAGGGAGGGAGGGAGGAGATGGAGGGAGGGCGGGAGGAAGAGAAGAGGAGGGAGAGGAAGGAGATGGAGAGAGGGAAAGTGCCGAGGACCCAGCGGGCTTTGCACTCACCCGTGTTGTACACGTGCAGTTCGTCCACTATTCCCTCGTTGCCGCCGCCAAACACCACGATGAGCTCCTTGATAGCCACGGCGCGGTGGCCGTGACGGGGCCGCGGCACCGGACCCGACCAGCCCACAACTCGCTTCCAGCGGGGCTGCAGGAGCACCGCTGGCGAGTTGGCGGGCGACACGGCCGAAGCCATAGTTCCGGGAAAGGGTGCGGGGGGGAGAAGTCAACGAGCGGGAAGGGAGCCCCTCAGTTCCTCTCACACACCCCCTTTCGTCTAAGGCAGCTCTAACGGAGAAGCGGTTCCTCACACAGCGGTAGACGACTCCATGGAGGCCGCCATCTTAACTGCTCTCCTTCCCTTTGGCTCTTCCCTTTCTTCTCGCTCACCTCGTCTCCTCAAGAGCTGCCCAAAACTGTCGAGCGCCTAGGCTCGATAAGCTGGAGGCCGCCGAGTCCCGTCGCCCCAACTACTTGCCCGGGCGCTCCCGCTTACAAGCTCGGGCGGGAGGCCCTGGGAGCCGCCATCTTGAGCCGCCTCTCTCTCCTCCCTTCCTCAGTCGTAGCCCTCCCCCGCCGGAAATGGCGGAACCCCGGCCCGGTTCCCACACCCCCAAGTCCCCAGGACTGGCCGGCTTCCGGGGCGGGTGGAAAGGAGCCACAGGCGCCGCGGTCGTCGCACCCCCGCCGGCGCTCAGACCACAATTGTGGGAGCCGCCATCTTGAGACCGTCCCGCTTCCCCGCCCAGCGCTCAGTGCAGCCGCCGCTCCCGAAACAGCCTCGACACACCTAAGGAATGGAGGCGCGCCGGAGGCCGGCAGAATCAGCTCGAGCTCCCGAGGGCCGTTTGGAGGCGCGCGCCGTAAGGCCGTTAGAGGTCTCGCACCTTTCCCCTTAGTCCGCCTCTGCAGCTCAAGCTGCGCCTGCCGCCCTGGGAGCCGCCATCTTGAGACTAGCTCCCCGTTGCCCCCTATTCTCTTCCTCCTGGGTCAGTTCTTCCACTGCAAACCAAACTCAAGGCAGTGTCCGATCCTCACTTCCCTCCTTATGACTCCTTCCCACAGGAACCGCTTCAAGGAGCCAGAGTTAGGCCCCGAAGCGGCAACTGTACGGCAGGAGGAGCGGTAACGGTAGGGCGCTCATGCCTCCTCCCTGGGAGCCGCCATCTTGTGTGAAGAAGTAACAACTAAACATGGCGGCGGCGGCGCCGGCGGTCGGGCGAGGGGGCGGAGTCGGGTGACGTCACCGCTTTCCCCCACCCGCCCTCGCACCTCTTAACCGCTGGGCCGAAGCCTCTTAAAGGACCCCTGCGCTGCCTCTGGGCGGGGGTGGGGGTCGGCGCGGCCGCGCGCTGGGCTAGGGTTGGAGCCGCGCTCAGGTCAGGTGCAGGCGCAGGCGCGCCCCGCCCCACAGCCCCCCCGAGCGAGCCTCCACGCCTCCGCCCTGGGAGCCGCCATCTTGCCACTTCCCCTCGCCCGGCCGTCCGCGGGCGTCAATAGCGACTGTCAGCACAAAACAAAGATGGCGGCGGCGGCATCTCGGGAATACCCGGATGAGAGTTGCAACCCCTTCGACGCACTCGGCCCCGCCTCCCTTGGGAACTGTCTCTGGGGTCGCTGAAGGAACGCACGCCCGAGGAACTGCCTTTAACCAGCAGTGGGGACAGGGGCATGCAGGTGGCCGGGGGTGGCGAAGAGTCACCACAGCCAGGCCTCCGGCCGGGGAGCGAGCTTTTTCCCGCTCTGCAAACCCAGCAGCCGCAGGAGGTGGCCCAAGGCGCGCCCCGGGGGGAAGCGGGGGCGGGGCGAGAGTGGGAGGCGACGCAGCCGAGCGCCGGCGCCCAGAGGTGGAGCGTCCGCCCGCTCCCAGGCTCCCAGGCTCCCAGATGCCGGCCCCGCCCTCGAGCGCCACGACCTCCGCGGGCGCCGCAGCAAACTGAGCTGGGCCGCGCGCCTCAGACCGCCACGCGCCCGGCCACCTCCACCGCCGAGGGGCCCGCAGTCGGACCGGTGGCGCCCGAACCAGGCGGGCGCGGGAGGCGCTCGCGTCACTTTGCGTCACCCCGCCCCGCCTGCTTCCCAGGCCCCGTGCCCCGCCCCGCGCGCAGGCGCACCCGCGCTGCTCGGGTCCGCCCTTATCGGAGATTTGAATTTCCCCCAGCGAGGCGAGCGAGGCGAAATACCCGTATGGTGATTGCTGGCCTTTTCGCGCCAATACTGTAAGTGCTCACCGCAGCCCCGGGAGGTGGGTCCCGGCGTCGCTCGTACGTTCCACCTCCTCCAGGAGGCCGCCCGGGCGCGGCGGCGGCGGCATCCTCCCTGCCACGCGCAGGCCGCAGCGCAGGGGCCCAAGCTACTGCCCGGGAGCTGTAGTCACCACTATAAATGGATAGACAGGTCCTGTCAGAGCCTGTGGCTTTTGTTGTAAATGCCTAGAAGTTCAATTAAATTACAAGATCTACCGACAGGCAGAATTATTACTTTGAAGTTAAGCGTCCTGCTGGAAGACCTTGTAATTTAACGCATTAGTAAGGAAGCACACATCACTGTCTCTCACATTTTCAACAATATTTTTTAAGTCTCCTCTCAACATATTACATGTATTTTGCAATCCTCTGTGTTTTGGTTCATGCAGTTGGAAGTATCCATTTGAGAAAGGCCAAAGAAGAATTCCTGCTTGTCTGTGCTACCACCTGTTGTTTGTGACCGTGGCTAGTTATCTCACTTCTATGTCCCCAAGTTCCCCACCCATGGTAAATAAGAAAACTAAGGCCTGACACGTTCGCTCACGCCTGTAATCCCAACACTTTGGAAGACTGAGGTGGGAGGATTGCCTGAGACTAGCCTGGGCAACATAGCGAGACCCCAAGGCATGGTGGCACACGCCTGTGGTCCCAGTTACTTGGGACGCTGAGGTGGGAGGATGGCTTGAGCCAGAGAGTTCAAGGCTGCAGTGAGCTGAGATCGCACCACTGTGCTCCAGCCTGGGCCACAGAGCAACACCCTGTCCCCAAAAAACAAACAAAAAAATTGAGCTGCTGGTTTCCAAGGGCCTTGCCTGAATTCAGTCCAGAAGCCAAATTAATTTTAATTTAAAAAATTCAAGTGTACGTCGCTGCTCCTCGCTGCTTGCACATCCGTCTGGCCCAGGTTAGCTTTTCCTGCTGGGGTGTCCCACACGGTGTCCCCTTATCTGCAGAAAGACAGCAAGGAAGGTCATGGGGGGACATAACTAGTTGTCATAAATGCTAAAGGCCTGGATGTGTCAGTGCCTGCTGTTTAAACACGTGCAGGAGAGTCTGGGCCCTTAGCCAGGAGATTGTCAGGCTTTCCAGGGCTTCCCTGAAAGACCCCAGATCCAGGGGCCCATGCTGTTGAGGTGTTGGCCTTCCCATGCCAGGCCCTGGGAAGCTGTGGCGAGATTTGAGTGTCACATAATAAGGATCATGGCTGTTCAAAGGTACAGGGAAGCTAGGCTGTGTGGTAGCCAGCTCCGTTGGGTTTTGGATAGGTGCTTTGATTACATTGTCACTGTCAGCCGTGCCCTGGTTCAAGTGGACTGAGCCCCTGCATCCGGAAACAGGAGTTGCTTTCCACGCCCTCCCTGGAGTTCCTCCTCGGTCAGGTTGACAGTGTTTGACTCCTGTTCCAGCTCTCCAACCTGCTTGCTGGCAGGCAGGACGGTCAGGCTGGCATGGGTGCCATGGGGCCCTAGATGGGTGCAGGGAAGGACCTGTAGACACCAGGTGGGGCCTCACCTTTTACCTCAGCTGGAGTTAGGAGCTGAAGGGGAAGTGCCTGAGAGGAAATGACAGCTGAGTCAAGGGCAGTGGCCAGGCACAGTGAGCAAAGACCTTCCAGTACAGAACTGGGCCTAAGCTCAAGAAGCTGCATGGGGATGGCACTTTAAGTCTGGCCAAGAGTTTGAGACATAATCCAGGACATGGAATGGAAGCTGGTCATGGAAGAGTGGAAGCCAGGGCAGACATGATGCTGTCTATGGCTGCTCCGCAAAGATGCTGGGGCTACTGTGTGCACACCCCTGGACCCTGAAGCTTCTTTGACTGGGAGGAGGAGGCAGGAGGAGTCCGGGTGCCCCCTGCTGAGATGGCAGGCTTGTGTGAAGCAAGGACATGTGGAGTGAGACTGAGGGCTGTGGTTCCTGTGTGGCAGCACCACGCTTCAGAGGGCAATGGGGCACCCACATGCCAGGCCTGGTGGTCCTCCTCAGCAATGGAACCCCAAAGCAAGAAGGCTGAGAATGAGGCCCAAGAGGATTCAGGTGGGCCCCAGGACGTGCCTGAGAAGTGAAATAGCAAACAGGAATGGTAATAGGCAGCAGAAGTGCTGGCTTTGTGCTTTAATGTAATTGAATTGAAATTGAGCAGGGCTTCACTGGCACCTGAGGAAGAGCAAGGAATCAGACCCTGCCCCACCCATTTGGGGCCTAAATTGCAGGAGGGCAGATGGACTTTGCACCTCAAAAATAAACATGCTTGTCACATGAATCATTTGCAAATATTTTCTCCCTTATTGTGTCTTCATTGTTGATTGCTCCTGTGCTGTGCAGAAGCTTTTTACTTTCGTATACTCCCATGTGTCTGTTTTTATTTTTGTTGCCTGTGCTTTTGGCGTCTTGGCATAAAATCTTTCCCCAGACCAATATCCTGGAGCGTTTCCTCATTTTCTTCTAGTAGTTTTATTTTTATTATTTATGTATTTATTTTCATTGATTGATTGATTGATTGAGACAGAGTCTCATTATGTTGCCCAGGATGGAATGCAGTCGCATGATCTTGGCTCACTATAACCTCCGCCTCCTGGGTGCAAGCGATTCTCCTGCCTCAGCCTCCCAAGTAGCTGGGATTACAGGCACCTACCACCACGGCTGGCTAATTTTTGTATTTTTAGTAAAGATGGGTTTCGCCATGTTGATCACGCTGCTCTTGAACTCCTGACCTCAGGTGATCCGCCCTCCTCAGCCTCCCAAAGTTTTGGAATTACAAGTGTGAGCCACCGCACCCAGCCTCTTCTAGTAGTTTTATAGTTTCAGGTCTTAAATTTAAGCCTTTAATCCATTCTGAGTTGATTATTGTGTGTGGTGAGAGATAGGGATCTAGTTTCATTTTTCTCACATACTTATCCAGTTTTCCCGGGGCCATCTATTGAAGAGACTATCCTTTCCCCAATGTAGATTCTTTGTGCCTTTGTACTACTCATAATAGCTAAGATAAGGAAGCAATCTAAGTGTCCATCAGTGGATTGATATATAAAGAAAATGTGGTATATATTCATGATGGAATGTTATCGAGCCATTTAAAAATAAACTATTGGCAGGCATGGTGGCTCACGCCTGTAATCCCAGCACTTTGGGAGACCAAGGCGGGCAGATAACCTGAGGTCAGGAGTTCGAGACCAGCTGGCTAACATGGTGACACCCCGTTCCTACTAAAAATACAAAAATTAGCCAGGTGTGGTGGCAGGCGCCTATAATCCCAGCTACTTGGGAGGCTGAGGCAATAGAATCACTTGAACCCAGGAGGCAGAGGCCGTAGTGAGCCGAGATCATGCCATTGCACTCCAGCCTGGGCAAAAAAGTGAGACTCTGTCTCGAAAAAAAAAGAAAAAAGCCTATTGGCTGGATGCAGTAACTCACACCTGTAATCCCAGCACTTTGGGAGGCCAAGGTGAGAGGGTCGCTTGAACCTAGGAGTTTGAGACCGGCCTGGGCAACATAGCAAGACCCTGTTTTTCCAGGAAATTTTCAAAATTTGCCAGGCATGGTGGCATATGCCTGTGGTCCCAGCTACTTGGCAGGCTGAAGTGGGAGATTGATTTGAGCCTGGAAGGTGGAGGCTGTAGTGAGCTGTGATCGCACCACTGCACTCCCCAGCCTGGGAGACAAAGTGAGACCCAGTCTCAAAGAAGCAAACTAATAAAATAAATCTTGTTATTTGTGGCAACGTAGATGAGCCTAGAGGACATTATGTTAAGTGAAATAAGCCAGGAACAGAAAGATAAATATTTTATGCACTAATCCTTATGTGAAATACTAAATCATTCGAAGATCGGAAGAGCGCCTTGTGTCCTTCAAGCTCATGGAAATAGAACCATAGTGGGTATTAGAAGCTGGAAAGATTCAAGGGTAGGGAAAGATTGGGAGGAGCTGGATAA